GGGTCTGCATAATAACAGACGAGTCAAATTTAATAGTAACGAAATTTATTTCCATCTTGGAAATCATACATTCTTTTGAAGAGACTGAAGAGTTGGGTTCGATTAGAAATTCTTCATCGTGACTGGGAACGATTTCCATGATTTTTGTGAGCCAACGTTGATAAACAAGGATGAGTGAAAGAGTGGTTTTGTTTTAGTAAGTGTTTTACGGCACTTGTAACACAAAAAGGTCATAAAGTGCCGAATATTAGAAGTGCTACAAGAGAGTAACAAACACAAAAAAGAAGGATGAGAGATAAGGACGAAGACGTATGATTAGAAAGAAGAAGCAAACCACCCTAGAGCACACGCCAATCACCCTCAAGGAAAGAGTATCTGCAGTGCGATAACACGGATGTAAACCTCTAGTGTCTCTTTTTGAAAGTTGGTAATTGTGGATTTCCTTGAAACTGAAAGAAAAATTAAATCATTAAATGTATCAGCAATCCATTTCTTGTCCACTGTCCAGCCGACGAAAGGTGAACGGCGCCGTCGGTCTTGTACAGTTAACGAACCAATCCTGTAGGTTATTTATAGAACTGGTACACACCGCCGGAAAAGAGGGGACACAATTCTCTGGTGAACACTCAACAGAGATTTAATATACCAGTGACAAAGTCAGTGCTAAGAGTCATAGGGAGGTGCGCAAAGTCTATAAAAAAAATTGCAAGACCATCAATGATTTATTTATAGAGGCACCAGCCATCCATGTCCAGGTGCTGTTTTAGCCTAAAAATTGCAAGGTAGAGCAAGGTAACTAAAACCAAAGTAGATCTACTTTTCACATCTCGCAACAGAAGGCAATATTAAGAAAGGATGTTGGTAACAACAGTAGTAGGTAGGTAGAAAAAAATTGAATAACATGAGAAACAGAAAAAAGAATGTTATACCCATACATTATATTAAAAGACAGTTTGACTGGCTTTTGAGCTTGTAACAGATACTCAGACATTAACAGAAACATCGTGAGTTATAATGACATATACGATTTGGTCTAGTCTACTTACCTGCTGAAGAACTTTTCACATCCATGATGAATGGAACAAAATCGGCTGTGAGCAAGAATTATTTTAGCATAGATCTATATTCTTTTTGCTGGTTGTTTTCTGTGCACCGTGAAACGGTACTTGTAACAATACACCGTTACGAACAATGTCAGTCTTGGAGAGGGTCCACTGGCCTTGTACCGTGTGTATTGCAGAGGTAAAATAACTTAACGGACAGACGACCTTGAGTAGCTTGAGTAGCAATGTAAAGCATGCTCTTATTGGCCTTCCACTTTCGTTCCCCACATAAACAAAGCCAGTAAGCCAGTAATACAAGCATGAGGCATGAGGCATGAGTCAGCAGTTTTCTTGCCGTGTCACTGGTTCACAAACACTACGCCTCGTGGAGTGTGGAGTTGCCTACTTGTGTAGACAGAAACTCTTAGTTCTGCCAGAGAGTTTACAGTAATACTATTACTGTAAACCCTCTCTGGTTCTGCTAATACACACACATTGACACAAGAGCGCACACCAACAC